AAGGACACTTTTTGCTCCCTGCCCTCCTAGGTCGATTAGTTCCCAGGGACCATGAGCATCTCGCAAAATGTCCTGTAATGGTGGTGGGTCATCTGACCTCTTGATCAAGGAGGCAAAGGTGACCCCACCAGATGGACTTGAACCAGTGTCCAGTCTATAAAGAGGAGGGTCAACATGGGGAATCATTTCCTCCATCCTTCCAGCAGCCAACAATGGTCGAGCAGGACCTTTCACTTCTCATCACATAGATGGAACTGGTAAAAGAAAGGAGCCAGGGGCTCCTCCCAAGCCCATGGGACCCCTGAGGAACAGATCCTCAAATGACCTCAAGAGTAAAAACAAATGTCGAGTTGTTGGACAGGTTGGATAAAGGCTCTTCCAGACAGTTCCAAGATACTACTGGAAAAATGAACAGCAGACCCCAATTCTATCCAAAGGAATATTGACAATAGATTGCCGAAGATGAGGAACAGCTGATCCTCCTGGATCAGGGACCTCTGGCTGACTAGATTTACCAGAAGGTCAGATAGAGGGGAATGGATGGGGATGCTGACAGCACAGTGGACAGTAGCAGGGATAGCAGAGTATGGAGGCTCTAGTGGGAGGGGAAGGCTGTCTATCTGACGAGTTTGTATTCATGCTCAGATGCAGAGGAGCTCAGAAGGTGGGCGACTGTGACCAGTAATAGTCATGTATAAAGAGTGTCGAAATGCATTTGAAAACGTCTCAATCTCAGTGGGCTTGGAATGAATGTTTCTGTCTGAATCAGTGTGCTTTGACAATGACATGGAGATCTTTTTGAACCGTTGGAACCTCATTTAATTTTATGTCTTATAGAGTTTATAATGAGTAAAAGATTATATAAGCGTAATAATTCATCTGTAAACCTAGAAATTTACAGCCAATTTTGAAAGAGATGTACCCTAGCTCAGAAAAATGTTATTGAATAGGTTAATGCTGTTGTAATGAAATGCTTCTTTTAATTAAAAAAAATTGAAAAAAATAAAAATAAAAGCACAATATAAAAAACATTCTTTGCTTTTACCATAAACTCCATGACTGTATGACAGCAGCTATCTTTTACTTCTCCTTCATAGAACTATTAATAGTTTAGTCAGGACTTTCCACACTGTTCTCCAGAATAACTAAAATTTTTCATTTGCACATACAGTTTATCAAAATTATGTTTCTCTTCACACAGTCAGCATTGTGTTTTCAGCAGCTTCCACTCAAACTGGTGTAAAATGGTACCTCATGTAAGTTTTAATTTGCATTTCTCTAATGGCTAATGATATCAGGCATATTTTCCTAAATTTATATAAATTTATTTATATCTATTCTTTTGATGTGTATCTATATGTATAACCATCCAAATTTTGCTTGGACTGCATTTTTATTGTCTTTTATATTTATTTCTTTTATTTCTTTTTCTTTTATTCATGTCTCCCCTTCACAATACAGACCAGGCACAGTTTCATGGGCTGAGGTGTACATGGGTCAGGTATGCCCTACCTCCTCCTATGCAATTAGTATAAGAACACAACCTGTGTTAAGCATCATAAGGCCTCTGTTTATATCTTTTTACATTTTAGAAACCATTTTGTACTGTAGTTCTATTTTTAGATTTTGTAAGAAAGAGACCTACTCATTGTTCTCCACAGAGAAAAATTTACATTGTTTTTCAGTAAAATTTTTATCTCCTGTGTATGCAAAGTTTCTTTTACTTCTATTGCAGTCAGCATATTTGTTTTGACTATTGTCATCCTAATTGAAGTAAGGTGGTATCTTATTGAAGTTTTTATTTGCATTTCTCTTATGGCTAATGAAATAGAGTATATTTTCCATGTATTTATTGATCATTTACATTTCTTCTCCTGAGAAGTGTATCTATGGATCATTTTCCAACTCTTAATTGGATTTCATTTTTCATTAGTCTTTATTAACTCTCTTTATAGTCCGCCTATTAACTCTCAGTCAGAGGAATGACTGGTGAAGGCTTTTCCCATTCTGTGAGTTGCTGCTGTGCAAGAGTTCTTTGGCTGCTACAATCCTATTCGTCTATTTTTGTTTCTGTTTTTCTTTTCGGGGGTATGTTTAAAAACTCGTGTTTGTCTTAATGTGATTCTCTTATATTTTCCTATGTCTTTGACATGCTTTGAATCAATGTATATACAAGCTTAGAGGCGGGGTCTACTCCTCATCTTCCACATGTATTCCCAGTATTCCCAGGTCCATTTGTCCCTTTTCTAACACACTTGCTGGCAACTTTGTTGAGAATACATTGGCTGTATATCTATGGGATTATTTACAGTTCCATTCATATTGGCCTATATGTCTGTTTCTATACCATTGTCATGCTGTTTTGGCTACCTTGACTCTGTCTCCGACTTTCGTTTTTGTGCGTGTGTGCTCTAGATCAGTGTTATGGTTTGAAATATCTTTAAGTAGGCTGTGTTAAGTTTTTGGTCAGGAACTAGAGGCTTTTTGAAAGGTGATGGTATCATGAAAGTTCTAACTTCCTCAAAGGACTGATCACTAATCAAATTCATAGCTGAATGCAATATTATATTAAGATGTGGGGTCTGATTGGAGGAATTAGGTCACTGAGGACACATATATTTGAAATATATATCTTGTTCTTGTATCTTTTCTCTTTGTCTCTCTGCTTTCTAGCAATCGTGAGGTGCACAGCTTTAATTTCTCACATCCTTACAACATGATGTCTGCCTTTCCACAGACATAAAGAAGTAGAGCCAGCCGATCATGGGCTGAACACTCTGAAATTGCAAACCAAAGTTAATCTTTCTTATTTCAACTGATTTTCTTTCGTATTTTGTCAGAGAGACCAAAAGTAAGAAAGATAATTACATTGGCTATTCACGGTGTCTTGGTTTTCCATGTGAATTTTAGGATCTGTTTTTCTAGCTCTGTGAAAAATTCCATTAGTGTTTTAATGGAAATTGCATTTAAAAAGCACCTAACTATCTTAACAACATAAATGTCTCCTAGTTCATGAAAATATGAGATTTCTTTCATCGTTAAGGTTCTTTTTCAATTTATTATTTTATAATCATCATTATAGAAGTCTTTTACTTCTTTTGTTAAAATTCTTAGTAAGGTGTATTTTGTGGGGAGGGGGCTACATTGAATGGGAATGCTTTTACAGTTTCTCAGAGCATTCATTGTTATAATGAAAACCTGGTTTATGTTGATTTTGGACTCTGCCACTTAACTGAGCTCATTTATCTATCCTCTGTCTTTTGGTCATTGTAATTTTCTATGTATAGAATCATAGCGTATAAAAGTGGTTAATTTGACTTCTTCCTTTCTTATTTGTTATGCCTTTTTTCTTCTAGTCCAATTGCTTAGTACATTGAATAAGAGAAATAAGATATGACACTCTTTTCCTGCTTCTTCTCTCAGAAGAAATTCTTTAGCTTTTAAACTTTCAGTATGATGTCATTTGTGGTTTTGACATATATAACTTTCATGATATTGAAGTGATCTTTATAAAACTAAGTGGCTCTGAGCTTTAGTATGAGGAGATGTTAAGTATTATCAAATGCCTTTCTGCATCAATTTATATGATCTTATAAATTTTATTTTTCATTCAGTTTATGTTGACTGATCTATATGTGTTAGACCATCCTTGCATCCTTGTAATCATATCTAACTTATGATGGTGAGTCTTTTTAATATTCATGAGAATTCAAGTTTCAAGAACATTGTACCAAAGTTTTGTAGCCTAGATAGTGAATATCATTCTATTATAATCTTACTGTGTATCATTGTTTGGTTTGGGCTACAGTGTGATGCTCATCCCGTTTATTAAATTTCTGATGGTTTCCTCTTTTAAATAGCATTGTTTCAGAAGAATTGACATTACTTATTTAAATGTCAAATTAAATTTTGTAATGAAGTTATCCATTTCTGGGCTTTTATCTGTTGGGACACTATTAATTATTCATTTAGTGTTAATTATCAGTTATTGACTTTTCAGATTGCTTTTTGTCCTCATTATTATTGAGTTTTGTCTTCATGCTATTTCAGTCAGAACAGATGAATAAAACTACTACTCAATTTTCTCTCCTGAATTATCTCCCATTTTAATCCTTCTTCTACAGGATTACTAAGATGATTTATGAAATAATTATTTTCTTTGAAACTTTTCTGTTTAAAGGTTTTCAGCAGTTTTCCATTACTCCCAGCATAAAGCCAAGATCCTCCCACAGATGACACAGGACACATTATTCATATTTTTATATTTATTCCTGTTAAATTTCACAGGTTCCCACATTAACCTCTTCTGGGTTTATACTTTCACCAATTTTTGCAATTTCTGGTAAAAAATATATGCTTTTAAACTACACTGAATTCAAATTCATCAGAATTGATCTTACCTCCTGAGTAGAAAAAAAATTATACAATACATATGTATATAAGCTATGCAAATATAATGTATTCAAAGTATATTACAGCTGTTCTCTGACAACAGCTTTGAAGACAGTAATGCTACATGACTGATAGATATGATAAGATCATTGAACTTATTAATTTACAGAGGCTGTGGCTGTCTGTCTAAGACCTGCACAAGATCAAGTCAATCAACACTGCATCATGGATGGGGGAGAGACTAATGCGACCCTGAGATGCTTTTGACATTGGTGAATGCTGGGGGACAGGGAGTCAGTTTTCTTCAAGGTTATGGTCCTTGGTATATAAACCATGCTCTAGTGGAAAGCCCTAAACCTTGGCATGTGTAAGTAGTACTAGTAGTACTCAGTGACTTAAATAAAGAACATGAAGTTGGTGTCTGTTGTGATGTTTCCTTTCTAATCTACTTTGTTCATTTGGATTTGTTCTTTTCTTGGCCTAGGGCTGAGTGTTTATCTTGTTTAACTTTTCAAAGAAACAGCTCATAATTTATTTTTTTAATATTGTTTTCATCATTTCTAGTTCATTAATTTCTCCTCTGATTTTTGTTATTTCTTCTCATATACTACGTTTGGGTTTGTATCGCTTTTGTCTTTCCAAAGTTTTGAGTTGTTCTATTAAGTCATTTATATGTGCTCTTTCTGATTTCTTAATGTAGGCACTATGAACTTCCCTCTTAGGACTATTTTAGGGTGTCCCAGGGGTTTTGTTTTATTGCATTTTCATTTTCAATTAATTTCAGGAATATTCATTCAGAGTATGTTTAATGTCCATGAGTTCACGTAGTTACTAGAGTTTCTTTTGCTGTTGATTATAAGCTTTATTGCACTGTGATCTGACAGAATGCATTGAATTATTTCACTTTTTTTTGTATTTGTTGAAATTTGTTTTGTACCTCAGTATGCGATCAATTTTAGGGAAACTGGCCTAGACTGAGTATAAAGTGTACTCTTTGGTGTTGGGTTGAATATTCTGTAGCTGTCTGTTAGGTCCATTTGATGTAAGATGTTACTCAATTCATATGTCTCTCTATTTTTTGTTCAATTGACCTCTTTATTAGAGATAATGTGGTATTGAAGTCACTTACTATTTTTCAGTTGAGGTTAATGTGTGTTTTATATTACTGTAGTACTGTTTTTATGAAATTGGGTACTCCAGATTTCAGTGCGTATATGCTCATGATTGTAGTATCTTCTTGATTGACTGTTTCTTTGATTAGAATGAAGTGTCCCTCTTTATTTCTTCTGATTAGTTTTAATTTGAAGCTTCTTTTGCAAGATATTAAAATTGGAACACCTTTATGCCTCTTAGAGCCATTTGCCTGAAATATGTGCATATGTCCTTTTCACCCTCTGCTATTACCTATACTTGAAGGTGAGATGAGTTTCTTGAGGATAACAAAAAGATGGAATTTGTTTCTTAATCCAGTCCACTAGCCTGTGTCTTTTATCTGGAGAATGGAGACCATTGATACTTAGAATTATTATTGAAAGCTGTGTATTGGTTCCTGCCATTTTAACTTGATTGCGCTCTTGGCCCTATTTTGTCTTTCCGTTATTATACCTTCCTTTGTTTTCTTTACATAACTTCATGTGTAAACTCATTACTATCTTCTGTTTTTTGTATTGCTTTGAGTATGCTCTGTAGTACTGGTTTGCCAAACATTAGTTGTTTCAATCCTATTCATTCCATAGAAAATTTTACAATTTAGACATTTTAAAACTCAATTAAAAAATAATCCTGGAAAACTGTTTGGGGTTGACATCTATTGTCATTTAGAACTGATAATACTTTGGTCCAGGCTCTGAGGCTGAGGAGCAGGAGTGGGCCTGGGACCAAGGCTAGCAGGGAGACAGGGTGGGGTGGGTCTATTGGAGATGTTCAGGCTGCAGGGAAATTGGATAGAGAAGTAATGGGGGGGATATCACTTACCAGATTAGTAAGAGGTCCGATCTGTGTCAGGCAGATCAGGAGTCCAGGGAAAGGTGGGGATGGGGACAGACTGTGAAGTGTTTTAACAATCTATACCAGAGAATTTAGCTCCTCTGGGTGAGGAAGCTAGTTCAGACATCTGAGGTGGAGGAGCTGAAGTGGACCTGGCCCAAGGCTAGCAGGGGAAATGGTGGGGGTAA